GTCTCCCCAGTTTTGCTATCTTTTTCTGGCCCTGAGCACCCTGCTTGGGGTCCAAGAGGTTGAAGCCCCTTTGGTCAAATGGTCTGGAAATTTTTAGCCCAGAGGCTGAATCTGCCTTGAGTCTCACACCTTTATTGTATCTGCTTTGAGTTGTATCCCCTTCTTCCATGGATCTGGTCCCTCAGTTGTCTGCTTCAGATTCTTGGAGTGTCTGGGGCATGTGCACAGTTCCTCTGGTGTGCGACTCCCTGTATGGACCCAGAGCCCTCTGGCATGTAATTTGCTGTGTGGCCCTGGCATCCATGGCAGGGTGGTGTCCTAGGTCACTCTGGAAGCACACTTGCAGCATGGTCCTGTGGCTCCTGGCTGGGTGCACTGGATTGGTCTGGGTCACCCCGACAGTGCTGTCCTGTGGCCCAGAGTGGGACAAGTGCTGGGTTGTTACAAGTTGCTCTTCCTGTGGCCCGGGGAGGAGCAAGCACCAGGTTGTCCTGGGTTGCACAGTCAGCACCCTACTGTGGCCCAGAGTGGAATAAAAGTATTGTTTATAAAAGAATGTAGAAACTTACTTTTTCCCATTATCACACCTAACAAATATAGGGATATATTAACTAGAGGTCTGGTGCATGAATTCGTGCACCAGTGGGGTCCCTTGGTCTGGCCTGTGGGATTGAGCCAAAAACAGCTCTTTGAAATCCCCTGAGGGGTCCCAGATTGCGAGAGGGTGCAGGCCAGGCCGAGGGACCCCACTGGTGCACAATCAGGGCCGGGGAGGGATGCAGGAGATTGGCCAGCTGGGGAGGAACCAGGGGAGGGCTCCAGGGCATGTCTGGCCTGTCTCACTCACTCCTGATCGACCAGACTCCAGCAGCAAGCTAACCTACTGGCCGACTGGTGGTGTCCCCTGGTGGTCAGTGCACATCACAGCAAGCAGTTTAGTGGCCTTAGGATATCATTAGCATATTATGCTTTGATTGGTTGAACAGCTGACTGGCCGACTGGACACTTAGCACATTAGGCTTTTATTATATAGGATTATGCAAAAATTACTATTTTCCTTTTCTAAAACTAAAGGTAGAAAATTTTAAGCAATAAGAGCATTAAAAAATATTAAATCTTTTAGGTATTGTCAAGTCAATTATAACTGGTTCTTTAAAATGAATCTGCTTATATTGTCATATTCCTATAAAATAAGTCTGGCTGATGATCATTCCTATTTGAAAAGGAGATGGTAATTATTTACTTCACAAGAAGGATTCTTCTCTTTAGAAACTGGCTTGTCATAGGAGTGACTGTCCCGATAACTTTTCTGAGAAATTTAAAATATGATCCAGTTTATGTATGACTTCTCAGGAATCTATTCTTTCACAAGAGAAGGTATTTAGGTATTTTTCAGAAGCAAACATGCAGGAGACTTAAAAAACAAAAGCTAAAACACCAGAATTTCTTTGAAAAAAACAGAATTGAAAACATAAGTGCAAAGATTGTTCAGACAAATCTGAGGCTTGTCTAAACTACACATTCTGAGAATTTATGGGAAAAGAGAGTAAATTTTGGCCACAACTGAAGCTTTAAATTCTAAACATGCTCTGTGGTGAGAAATGACAGCAATGTTAGCTACTGTCTTGGCAGACAGGTCATGGCCATGGCTTTGCCTGGCTCAGAAAATATGAATGTCATAAATGTAAATTGATATGCAATATTTGTTTAAGAAACCCAAATATTTTAGGATCATAGCTTTAAAAATCTACTCTAAGCATAGAGGATTTTATGTCCTAATATTTTTGGGACTGGAGATATTACTGAAATTGTGATTATGTTGTTAAATTATTAAATTACTCACTTGTACTCCCTAAGGAAAAATATCTAGACTTATTCACAGGAATGAAATGTAACATTTTATGTGACAGCATGCAATTAAATTATTTGGCTAGGAAAGTTCAAAGCAAGATCACTGGGAAAAGGCCATAAAAAAGAGGAAACCTATGGTCCAAGTCATAGATTCTAAACACACTTTTTAGAATCAAAGCATCATGTGAATTTTATTCTTAATAGATAGAAACGACTAAAAATAAAATACATTCTGGAGAAAGATAATTTTGCAAAAAAATGTTATTTTGGTAATATCCCATAGATCCAAGTATTCTTTTGTAATGTTAACATCAAGAAATAAAATGATGGAAAAATAAGTTTATATTTCTTTGCTAAAACTTTTATGGAGATTAAAGTGCATAATAAAAATTCTACTGCTAAGATTATGGAAAAAGTTTTCGACATGAGATGTTATCTACTATCTTTCAAAGAATGATAAAAATTTTGAAGAGAAACTTGTCTCTAAAAAGCAGGGTTATTTTACATTTACTGAAAGTAGATGTCTTTTAAAATTCTATTCTTATTGATTTAGAACAAAATAGGTTGGAGTTTAAAACTAATTCACTTTTATTTTATTTGTAATAAGTTGGAATTTAAAATGAATTCACTTTTATTTCCTTCTTTGGGTACCTGAAGACAGCCATTTACTTTTATTTATTTACTAGAGGCCCGGTACATGAAATCTGTGCACTGGGGGGTAGGGCTCCCTCAGCCCAGCCTGCCCCTCTCACAGTCCGGGAGCCCTCAGTGGATGTCCTACTGACGGCCACAGTCTGGCAGCAGAGGCTCAGAGAAGGCGTCCTGTGTGTGTGTGTATTTTTGCTGGGGGCCTGCCCCCCAGCCACATTGGAGGCTCAGAGCAGGCGCTGTGTGTGTGTCCCTGCTGGGGGCCTGCCCCCAGCTGCGTAGGAGGCTCGGAGCAGTCTTTCCGAGTGTGTGTCTGCTGGGGGTCTGCCCACAGCCACACGTGGAGGCTTGGAGCAGGCCCCCCACTGTGTTGATCTCTCAGGCTCCTGGCCTCCACTACATGTTGTTCTCTCCCTTGAGCTATGGCCAGGGTTGGGTGCTGCCTGCAGGCCGAGCTTTCCTGCTCATGGATTGCTGGTTCGCCATGGAAACCTGGGGCAGAGACCCACTTTCCTGCTCTGAGATCTCCATGGAGCCCCAGGAGCATGCCCACCTGGGGCTGCCTGCCCTCCACACTTTCCTGCTATGGGATCACCATGGTGACCCAGAAGCAGGCCCTCATGGGTGCTGCCTGCAGGCCGCACTTCCTGCTCTGGGATCACCATGGCCACCCAGGAGCATGCTCAATTGGGGGCTGCCTGCAGGCTGGCTTTTCTGCTCTGGGATCACCATGGCCACCCAGGAGCATGCTCAATTGGGGGCTGCCTGCAGGCTGGCTTTTCTGCTCTGGGATCACCATGGCAACCCAGGAGCAGGCCCACCTGGGGGCTGCCTACCCTCCCCACTTTCCTGCTCTGGGATCGCCATGGTAACCCAGGAGCATGCCCAGCTGGGGGTTGCCTGCAGGCTGGCTTTTCTGCTCTGGGATCACCATGGCAACCCAGGAGCAGGCCCACCTGGGGGCTGCCTGCCCTCCCCACTTTTCTGCTCTGGGATCGCCATGGCGACCCAGGAGCAGGCCCTCCTGGATGCTGCCTGCAAGCTGCACTTTCCTGCTCTGGTATTGCCACCATGACCCAGGAGCAGGCCTCCTGTGTGCTGCTTACAAATCATACTTTCCCTCTCACAGATTGCTGGATTGCCACAGCGACCCAGGGGCAAGCCCTGTTGGGTGCTGCCTGCGGGGGGCACTTTCCTGCTCTCGGATCACCATGGGGCTTAGGCGGCACACGGGTTCCTGGCTGGGGGCGGGGCTTAGGCAGTGTGGGGCTTAGGTGGCACAGGGGGGTCCCTGCTGGGGGCAGGGCTTAGGAGGCACGGGGCTTAGACGGCACATGGGGGCCCCGGTTGGGGGCGGGGCTTAGGTGGTGCAATCACGCTGCCTAAGCCCCACCGCCCAGGGCCACACATGGGGCCTGGATGGCAGCTCTCATTGTCCTGCCCTGCCTGCAGTATGCAAATTAGCCGCTATCTTTGTTGGCAGTTAATTTGCATGTCGTGCTGATTAGCCAATGGGAGGTGGAGCGAAGGTATGGTCAATTACCATCTTTGACTATTATTAGATAGGATTTTTTAAATTTATTGAGAGAGAGAGAGAGAGAGAGAGAGAGAAAGAGAGAGAGAGAGAGATTTGTTGTTTTACTTATTTATGCATTCATTTGTTGATTATTGTATGTGCCCTGACTGGGGATCAAACCCACAACCTTTAAACCTGCCTGCAACCGTGGCATATCTGGATGACGCTCTAACCAACTGACCTACCTGGATAGGGAATCAATAAAGCCATTTAAAATGCAACAATTTATCAAAAAGGAAAATCAAGTCTATATGAGTCTTTTCAAAAATAAACTTCAGCTGCCTTCTTTCAAGTTCTAACATGTGAGCTTTTTTTTTTTTTTTTTTGGAAAAAGCTCATGCAATTTGGGTATCTTCAATAGCCCTTGTATAATAGTTATGAAATTCAATAAACTATAGCTCTGAATGTTTTTTGCTGAATGACTAATTTATATAATAAGGGCAGTGGTTTTAAAAGTGTGGTCTGTGGAACCTGGGTGCCACATTTCTTTTCTTTTCTTCCCTTCTGAAGTTTTGAACAAGGTAGATTTAACCTTTTGAAGGGTGCTCTTGGATTTAGTTTGGTCTAAAGATGGCTGAAGGGCTTACTGCTCACATCTCTCACAAGCACTTCTAGAAACTCCTTTAATATATCTTCTTGATCATTTTCAAATCCTGTTCTAATGTTTCACTATGAATTTCTAGGCAATTAAAAGAATGGGACTATAACGACAAACTACTCTCCTGGTGGAATACAAAAAATCAACGTAGCTGCACACTGACAGGTGTGGTCTTTCTGCCAGAGAAATATAGGCCATTTTGCATTCCCATAGAATTTACTATGCTTTAATAATTGCAAAAGCAGTCGGCTCTCAGTTATTCATATCATGAGGAACCCTAATTGAATTTTCCACTGACCAGCAGCCCCTGCTTATAAGAATCCATACCTGCTTCCACATACAGTTGCTATGGCTTTGAAGCAGCCAGATGCAAGTTGGTAGGAACCTGTGTAGCATCGGTCAATTGCCCAATTAAAAAGATTTATTTGGTCAGGATTAAGTTCCAAGAGTAAGACGACAACTTCACAGCCAAGTTGATGAACCTGAATACACAGAGGAAAGCAATTATTCATGTTTAATGAAATGTTATTCCAGGAAAAGACACAGAATCAAGCTTAGTCAATATTGAATGGGGTAAAATAAAAGTGAAGACTGAGCATTCATCTTGATTAATTTTTATTTCACATTTTTCCTCTTTAAGAGGGAGTGATTGAAACTGAATACCGAAATGTATGAACTAAACGGGATCCTACATAAATCTGTCCTATAGGTCCACTCATTCTCGATCATATAATGCTGGAAAGGTGGTGAAGACTTTGTCTATATTTCTTATTTGCATTTAAAATGTTTCTGAAAAATATATGTGTTTGGCAAAAAAAATTTAAATATACAAAAGGAGAGCCTTTATGTATGCAGTCTTTTAAGAAAAAATCAGAGTGAGTATGTTTCAGAGGCTTGATTACTAAATATACTTAGTAATATAAATATAAATATAATATAATATAAATATACTTAGTGTAAAGCTTAGCTGGCAATCTTTTAAAAAGAAATACAGTTATCAATAAACTCTTCATTCTCAGAGACTTCCATATAAAATATCAGCATTGTAAAGAGAGTTAATAGGATATTTAATTGATTCCTGAAGCTACTGTCTTTTGTCTAGAAGATGACTGGTGCCTGGAGACTATATTCCCCTCCAAAAACATTTTCCTGTCTCCTCTGGAAGTTGCAACAAGGTGGGGAAGGAAAGATTCTGGTTTTGGGAGTGACATTCTAATTGGATGGTCAAACATGCTCAACCTAGTTTCTAAAGGGGCTTAAGATAAAAACTGATATGGCGTTAGTATGGCAAAGGACTTAAAAACAACATTTCATTACAAAGTTAGACTTGAACGGAAATCAGCAAGTTAGTATTGTGCTTTGGAAGCTCGGTATTGATGTACAAAATACACAGTATATGATTCACAAGTATATGATGAGTTATCTTAACTGAACACGATAGTGTGAGTACCACAAAGTAAAAACCACGGATTGCTAGCACCAGTAAAGCCTGCCTGTGCATTTTCTTAATCACTGGTCTCTTTCCCCTCCTCAGAAGCAACCACATCTTGACTTCCACCACCTTTGGTTAGTTTGGGCTGTTTTGAACTCCATGTAAATGAAATTATATAATATACAACTTTGTGTCCTGCTTTCTTTCACTCAACTGCTGTTTGAGAGGGACCTACATTAATTAATTCCCACTGTTGTATAGTATTCTAATTTATGATCACTCCCTAACTTAGAAACTGCTGGTTGTTGGTATACTGTGTTCAACTTTAGTAGATAATGCCAATCAGTTTTCCAAAATGGTATTTCCAGTTTATACTCTGTACGGCAAGAGAGTTCCCATTGCTCCATTTCCTCATTGACATTTGGTATTGACAATCTTTTTTTTATATTTTATTGGTGATATTTAACCTTTATACTTCTTTATTATTTTTAAAAATGTTCTTTTTCAATTACAGTTTACATTCAATATTATTTTGTATTAGTTTCAGGTATACAGCATAATGGTTAGCAATTATATAATTTACAAAGTGATCTCCCAATATTTCAAGTACCCACCTGACACCAAACATACACATTATATTGTTGACTATTTTTCCTGTGCTCTATTTTATATCCCATAATTATTTTGTAACTACCAATTTGTATTTCTTAATACCTTCACCTTTTCCACTCAGCCCTCCAACCCCCTTATCAGTTTGTTTTGTGTATCTATAAGTCTGTTTCTATTTTGTGTGTTTGTTTATTTTGTTCTTTAGATTCCACATATAAGTAAAGTCATGTGGTATTTTTCTTTTTCTGTCTGATTTATTTCACTTAGCATAACACCCTCTAGGCCCATCCATGCTGTCGCAAATGGTAACATCCCATTCTTTTTTATGGACGAGTAATATTCCATTGGATGTATGTATCACAGTTTTTTTTTTATCTATTTGTCTATTGATGGACACTCAATTGCTTCCATATCTTGACTATTGTAAATAATGCTGCATCTTTTTGAATACTGTTTTGGATTTCTTTAAATATGTACCCAGTAGTGGAATTACTGAGTCATAAGTGGTACTGCCAATCTTTTAAATTTCAGCCATACTGGTGGGTAGCATCTCTCGTGGCTTTAGTTTGCATCTTTGTAACTACTGATGAGCTGGAAAATGTTTTAAGTTTACTTACCATTTAGATAACCTATTTTGTATATAGCTTGTTTTAGTGTTTGGTCATTTTTCTAGGTGTCTTTATCTTATTTATTTGTAGGGGTTCTTTATATATTTAGATTTAAGAACTGGTTTATGTTGCAAGTATCTTTCATGCTATGGCTAGTCTGTTCACACTCTTAATGGTGCCTTTGGTGAACAGAAGTTATTAAATAGTCTTTCTTTATGGTTAGTAATTTTTGCATCTTGTTTAAGAAATCTTTCCATAATCTCAGGGAGTAAGATATCCTCCTGTCTTCTTTTCTAGAAACTTTATTTCTTTAACCTTTCACATTTAGATTTGCCATCTAAGTTCTTTTTATATTCCTGACACCTTATTTTTCTTTCCAAATGCAAGAATCTATAGTATAATGTTGACATAAGTGGTGACAGTCAGCTTCCTTGGTCATTTTAATCTCAGGAAACACTTTCAATATTCACTATCAAGTATTAATGTTTGCTACATGTTTGTTAAAGATACCTTTATCAAATCAAGAAAGTTCTTTTTATTCTTGGTCTTATTAAGAGTTTCTCTCATGAATGAATGTAGAATTTTAAAAGTGCTTTTCTTTATCTATTGAGATGACCATATAATATTTCTTTCTTGAGACACTACTAATATAATTAACATACTAATGAATTGATGGACATTAAACCAATCTTGTGGGTTTGAATAATTACAACTTGGTCATGATGAATCATCTTTTTAATATATCACCAAATTCAGTTTACTAATAATTTATTTAAAGGTTTTGTTTCGGGAGGTTGGGGGTTAATAGGTGGGATGAGGACACATTTGTAATACCCTAACTAATAATAATAATAATAATAATAAAGATTTATGCAAAAAAAATTTAATAAAGGTTTTGTTTCTATGCTCATGAATGAAATTGCCTTTTAATATTATTTCTTGTTAAATCCTTGCCAGGTTTTAGTATCAAGGTTATGCTGGTCTGCTAAAACGTGCTGGAATGTATTTCCTCTTGAGCTGTTTTCTCTTAAAGGATTTGTATCAAATCAATGTAATTTGTTCCTTAAATGTTGACTTCATCAGTAAAGCCATCTATTCTTAAAGTTTTTTTGTGTGTTTGTATTTTTTTTGTGTGAAGACCAATTACAGATTAAATTTATTACTTATATGACTCTTCAAATTTTCTTTTCTTCTGGTATTGTGTTTTTCTAGGAATTTGCCTCTTTTATCTAAATTTCCAAGTTTACTGGCACAAAGGTGTTCATATGTTCTCATTTATTTTAAATATTTGTAGCATCTGTAGTGATGCTCCTTTATATTTATGATGCTAATGACACATGCATTCTCTCTCTTTCTTGACCAGACTTGTCATGGATTTATTAATTTTTAAAAATATGTATTTTTATTGATTTTTTACAGAGAGGAAGGGTGAGGGACAGAGAGTTAGAAACATCGATGAGAGAGAAACATTGATCAGCTGCCTCCTGCACACCCCCTACTGGGGATGGCCCTGTAACCAAGATACATGCCCTTGACTGGAATTGAACCTGGGACCCTTCAGTCCGCAGGCCAATGCTCTATCTACTGAGCCAAACCACTTAGGGCATGGATATATTAATTTTATTGTTGTTTTTTTTTTAACAAATTCAGGTTTAAATTAATTATTTCTCTTTCATTAATTTCTGCTCTTATCTTTATTCCTTCATTTTACTTGATGAAGTAAATAAAGTAAAGGTGTTATTTTTCCAACACCTTGAGATGGATGCTTAGGTCATTATTAGCCTTTTTTTCTATCTATTATATGCACTTAATACATTTCAGTCTAAGCAATACTTTATTTATGATCCACAAGTTTAGTATGTAGTGCTTTCATTATTCTTCAGTTAAAAATATTTTCCAGTCTCTCATTGATTCTTTGACTCACTGGTAATCTGGAACAATGTGTCTTCATTATGTATTTATTATTGATCACTAGCATAATTCCACTGCGATTAGAGAACACAGTCTATGTCACTTCAATCATTTTAACTTTATGGAGACTTGCTTTATGGCATAGTTTATTGTCAATGTTGGTAAATGTTACTGTGATATTTATCTGGATGCATCACAGTGTATTGTGATCAACACTTAAACCTACATTCTGTGGTTGATGTGGGAAGAGACTGTGTTGTGAACATTGCTTAGACACTCAGTAACCTAGCTGAGGCAGAACACCCTATACATTGAACAAGTAAGTATCTTTAGCTAGTACTTACTCGTAAATCTTGACAAGCCAGAATGTTGTCAAGCCACTTATACAGGTAGCCATCTGGGGAAAGGCCCACGTTGTCAAACACAGGGCCGCAGCACAACACTGCTGACATTGCCTGATAACAAAACACAAAACACTGGGAATGAAACCTGGAATTGTCTAAAGGTATGCAACTGACTTTATAAATATAACTACCAGAATTATAAATGACAAAGGTCTTTAGCAGTTATTTCCAAGATCTTAAACTATTCCTTAGTATAGTCAATAAAAAGTACCAGATTCCCAATGAGCTCATTTTAGAAGAGCTAAATTCATAAATTTAACTTCTTGAAAATGTATTTTATGATTATAACAAGTGTTTATCATGAAATAGTAAAACATTCAAAGCAAAATTCTATGTCACAGTTTTGAAAATAAACTTACCTTAAGTGATTTCAAGTGAATTAATTCTGTTTAGAAGATAGAGCTTTTAAACTTTTGCTTTGATGACAAATATTTGACTATGTACTGAATTAACAAACTTGACAAATATTTGACTAATGTACTAAATCGACAAACTATGAAAAACATTGAGATAATTGTGATTCTTAATCAAAGATAAAGAAAATGAAAAATATACACTTCAGTTCCTTTGAGGCTGGGGGGAGGAAGCAAGGGAAGGTGAGAAGGGGAGATCTTTATTAATTCTGAAATTAGCAAGTCCAGGTGACTATCAGGGCCATGGTTTAAATTAGCTCCATTGAGACAATAGTCAGCCTGAAAGTCATCAATTTCTGCTATACATGCCAGTTAAAATTAGACTGGGAATCATGCTTCTGAAATGTCTAAACAGTCCTAGTAGTGTGGAAATTTATTTCTGGTAATCTTCTAGGATAAGAGACTAGAAAGGGAAATGGCAGATTTTGAATTTGAGGTAATCCTATCTAATAAAAGAGAAACATGGTAATTAGCGTACGACCGCTACCCTTCCCATTGGCTAATCAGGGCAATATGCAAATTAACTGCAGCCATGATGGCGGCCTGCAGCCAGGCAGCTTGAAACTAACATGAGGCTTGCTCTTCCAGTGCAGGAGGAGGCCAAGGTTCCCCGCCTGCCACGGCTGGGGTCTGAGCTTGCCCTCTAAGCAACTATGTTTCAATTATAGAAGCCAAACAAACCCCAGATACCTGCTTTCAGCAGCCGAGGCCTCAAGCTGGAGCCGGGCCTCAGAGCTGGAGCCAGCTCTCAGCTCCAGTG